GAAGGAGGCGGCAGCAGCAGCGTCCACGGAAAACGAGGACACTGAAGCCGAGGCGCACGGCGCAGCAGCCAGCAGCTTGGCGCGCATCGCCAGCGACAGGCCGCACACGGAGCCGGGCCACGACCCGACGACGACGACGCGCATTCAGTTCCGGCTGCCGACGGGGGGGCGCGTGATCCGGCGGTTCAGGGTCGACGACGCGGTGCGGCGCATCTACGAGTGGCTCAAGGCCGAGCCGCTCGAGGGCAAGGCGGGCGTCGCGTTTGAGCTCAAGCAGATGCCGCAGGGCCAGGACCTGCTGCAGCGTGCCGACGAGACGATCCTCGAGGCCGGGCTGAAGCAGGGCACGGTCATGGTGGAGTTTCTGGAGGAGTAGTTCTGGGCCTCTTTTTTTGTCCTGGTTTCTTCACACTCGGCGTCTTTGTGTTATTCTACATTTTCGTTTTTCTTTTTTTCTTCTTTTTTTCTTCTTTTTGCTACTGGCATGACCAAGACTGGCATGACCAGGACTGGCAACGTGGTTCAAACGGACATGACACGACGATGATAGACTAGGCTCCAAGGGATGAGCAGGACGGCAATGGATGTCTGTTTGCTGCCTGCTGGCCTGCTTCGGTTGACTTTGGCTGACTTTGGTGACTGCGACAAGATGCAGGCCTCCCTGTTCTCTCGCATGCTCCGTGGTGGCGAGGAGATGGTGGGGCGCACGGCTGAGAGAGGAGGCAGAGGGAGGCGAGCGAGACAGTCGTGCCGAGATGAGCAGTGAGGACGAATAGAGGAGGCAGCATGAATGAATGGCATGAATGAGCCGCACGAATGAGCTTTGCTGTGAATGTGATTGTGTCGGAGCGAGGTCCGTCGCCGAGACGGGCTTTCACTGGAGACTGCTTGAGCTTGTCTGCTGAAGAAGAGGTGGTGCAGCGCGTGCAGCGGTGGTGCAGCGGTGGTGCAGCGGTGGTGCAGCGGTGGTGCAGGTCCAGGGGCTAGGTCCCGGCCAAGGACGAAGATAGGGCCTAGGGGGGCCTACCAGGCAAGGACGAAGATAGGGCCTAGGGAGGCCTGTAGGCCTGTAGGCAAGAGGGCTACCAGGCCTGTAGGCCTACCAGGCAAGAGGCCAGCAAGAGGGCGAATCAAAACAACAACATGGCCGTCTCGTCGCGCCCCCACCTGAACCTCAACCTCTCCTCCTTGCATCCAGCCCTTGCCGCTTGCCGCATTGACCTGACGTCGTGTCTCTGCGCTCATTGCCTCGACGACTGGTCTTCGTTGTTCGTTTACTTTTTCTTGGCCCTTCATCTGGCCCTCACTGTTGTACAACAGCCGCTCCAAGACAACAGCTCGAGTCGCTGCTACCAGCACAGCACCTCCAGAACAACAGACCCAAAGCAGACCCAAAGGCCCGCCCCGCCATCAACCTCCGTGGGCTCCTGCTCTTGCACACCTCCATCCTCCTCGCTCTCGCGTCCCCTCCCTGCATTCTGACGGCCGCGACCCGAACCTCCTCGCCTCGACGAACAAAGACGCGCCCACCCCACGACGCTCCTCCTGGCGCCACCGTCATCTGCTTCCTCTGCTGGCCAATTGCCGTACGCGGGGGGCCTTCTCTCTCCACTGCCGACGACGACGACGACGACGACGACGACCTGCTCGATACCACCATAGCCCCCTTCCCCCCAGCCATAGCCCCCTCCCCCCAGCCATCGGTCACGGACGCGCCCATGGTCACGGACGCGCCCGCCATGGGGGACAGAGACAGGGACGACGAGCGCAACGAGGCCCTCGACCCGGAGCTCCTCTACACCAAGGAGTTTTGCATCGGCGGCGGGAGCTTTGGCAAGGTCTACAAGGGGTGAGTCTGTCCTGCGGCCTCTGCGGCCTCTGCTTGCCCTCTGCTTGCCCTCTGCTTGCCCTCTGCTTGCCCTCTGCTTGCCCTGGTGTCATGCTGAGCTCATGGGCCATGACGCGCTGACACGCCCCAGCGTCGACAAGCGCACCGGCCAGGCCGTCGCCATCAAGATCATCGACATTGAGAGCGCCGAGGACGAGGTCGAGGACATCATCCAGGAGATCGCCATCCTGTCCGAGCTGCAGTCGCCCTACGTCACCAAGTACTACGGCTCCTACGCAAAGGGCGCCGAGCTGTGGATCGTCATGGAGTTCTGCTCCGGCGGCAGCTGCGCCGACCTCATGAAGCCCGGCCTCATTGGCGAGGAGTACATTGCCATCATCGTGCGCGAGCTGCTGCTCGGCCTCGACTATCTGCACGCCGACAAGAAGCTGCACCGCGACGTCAAGGGTACCCTCCTCTCCCCTTCCTCCTCTCCCCTTCCTCCTCTCTCCTTCTTCGCTCCCCTTCTTCGCTCCCCTTTCTTCGCTCTCCCCTCCTCTCCCCTTCCTCCTCTCTACCTTCTTCGCTCCCCCCGACCCGACTGACACCCCCAGCCGCCAACGTCCTCCTCTCCTCCAACGGCCTCGTCAAGCTCGCCGACTTTGGCGTCTCCGGCCAGCTCTCCGCCACCATGACCAAGAAGAACACCTTTGTCGGCACCCCCTTCTGGATGGCCCCCGAGGTCATCAAGCAGTCCGGCTACGACCACAAGGCCGACGTCTGGTCCCTCGGCATCACCGCCCTCGAGCTCGCCCTCGGCGAACCCCCCTACGCCGACATTCACCCCATGAAGGTCCTCTTCCTCATCCCCAAGAACCCGCCCCCCCGCCTCGACGGCAACTTCACCAAGGCCTTTAAAGACTTTGTCGAGCTGTGCCTGCAGCGCGACCCCAAGGACCGGCCCTCGGCCCGCGACCTCCTCAAGCACCCCTTCATCCGCCGCGCCAAGAAGACGACCTACCTCACCGAGCTCATCGAGCGCCACAGCCGCTGGGCCGCCACCCACAAGGGCGACGACGACGACACGAGCCTGCACGGCGACGACGAGTACCACGAGCGGGAGCGCGTCGACGAGGACATGTGGGACTTTGGCACCGTCCGCCTCGTCGGCGACAGGGGCCTCCTCAACGACAGGGGCCTCCTCAACGACAGGGGCGTCGCCGCCCGCCCAGGCCTCCTCAGCGCCATGGACGACTCGGCCACCAACGCCCGCGCCCGCCCGCTCGACGCCGACACCAATGCCGACACGGACGCCGGCGCCCCCGACTACGGCCAACGTCCGCGCGAGCACAGCCCCACCAAGGCCCGCGACTTTGCCCAGAACGCCCACATGGCCGCCCACACCCTGAAGCCCGCCAACCCCGCCACCTCGCGCCAGACGTCGCCGCACAGGAAACCCGTCACCACGACGACACCCCAGTCGCCCGCCAAGGTCCCGCTGCCCGCGTCACCAGACAAGACGACGCGCGGATCCGAGACGACGCGCGGACCCGAGACGACGCGCGGACCCGAGACGACACGCGCACCCGAGACGCCGCGACCGCCCTCGAAACCCATGCCGCCGCTGCCCCTCGGACAGCCGTCGCCCGACTACGACCGCGAACTGCAGTACCAGCTGCAGAAGGACATGGGCATGCTGAGCCTCGGGCCCGCCATCCAGCACGACAACCAGGCCACACCGAAGCCGCCGCCCCACCAGCAGCTCTTCCCCTCTCCACTCCAGCAGCAGCAGCAGCAGCAGCCCGCCTCACGGCCGACCTCGAAGCTTGGCAACATCAGCCTGCCCGAGATTCCCCCGTTCCGCGGTGGCGGCGTGACGGCGCACCCCCCTCCGCAGCTGCAGCCCCTCGACAGGGTAACCAGCCAGCCCGGCAGCCGGCAGCCTTCCTCGTCAGCAGCAGCAGCAGCAACAACAGCATCCTCCTCGGGCCCACTGCCCCAACCGCTTCTCCTGCCCAAGACGACGCCGCTCGGGTCGCCGGCCCTCGCCTCCAAGTCGCCGGGCCTCGCCTCCAAGGCGCAGCCCCTCGAGGTCACGACACCGTCGTCGTTCCCGTCGCCGGCGCCGGCGAGCCCCAACGGCGAGCTCGACGCGCTCAACGACGTCATCTTTCCGGCGCTCGAGGAGGCGCTCAAGCGGCGGCAGATCCGGCTGCAGCAGGCGCACCGCCCGCCGTCGGCCGGCCAGGTGACGCCCCGGCAGCAGCGGGCCGAGGCGGCGCACGAGAAGCTGCGCAAGCTCGTCTACAAGCTCGCCCACGTGTGCAAGGAGATTGACCACTACGACAAGGCCGAGCCCGTCGGCATGGGCCGCGACGTCGGCACCTTTCTCGAGGGCCTGCTCGAGGAGATACTCGTGCGCGTCGAGCCGCTGGACGAGGACGAGCTGCAGGTGTGACGGGCTGCGGTGTAGACGAGTAGGACATGGGCAGCAGCGGCAGCAGCAGCGGCAGCAGGTAACGCGACACGACGTCATGGGTATAACGCGAGGACAGGGCGGCATCGAAGCATTTGGCATCTTGATTGGGCTCACTTTTGGCATGGCACGCGGCAGGCAAGGCTGGCACGCGGCAGGCAAGGCAGGGCAAGGCATAGCATGGCCGCCATGGGTTTCGGCTGTTTGGGTGTTTGGGTTTGAACGAGGGCCGACGGGACACGGGCAGACAGACGGGCGGACGGCGAGGGGTCGAGCGTTGGCGTGTAGCAAGTATACCCGGCCTTTTGCGAAAATAGACAGCCTTTTGGCGACAATGGACATTTCGGAGCGTAGCCAGGCTTGACGAGAGGCTGGACGTCGCGCCGCTCGGAAGGTTTGCCGATGTGCTGGTAGAAGGGCGTCGGACTTGTCGCCGATGGTTGCGGCTCTTGAGGACTGACCCCTCATGTCAACCTCGACTCACTTTATCTTCCTAGGATACTTCGAGGAGGGCTACACTTGGCGATTGCAGCAACAAGTCCATCTAAGGACGCAGTCGACTCGATTCATGACGGTAATGTACCTTTGAAAGGCATTCGACTCCTTCATGACAGCAACGACTTTCAGACAGCAACGACTTTCAGACAGCAACGACTTTCAGACAGCAACGACTTTCAGACAGCAACGACTTTCAGACAGCAACCGACTGAACGACTGAATACAACTCAACGCCATGGCCGCGCACCCCGTCCTTGACCTCGACACAACACTCGCCTCGCTCCCACCTCCCGTCACGCAAGACATCCGCGCCCAGGTGCAAGCCCAGCTGCGCGCGCCCTCGTCGCAGATCCCCCTCCTCGTCGCCCTCGATGACGACCCGACAGGCACCCAGACCTGCCACAACGTCAACGTCCTCACCGTCTGGGATGTGCCGACCCTAACGGCCGAGTTCAGCCTGACGCCGCGCGGCAGCGGCTTCTTCGTGCTCACAAACTCGCGCGCCCTGCACCCGGCCCCGGCCCGCGCCCTCCTCGTCGAGATCTGCACCAACCTGCAGGCCGCCTCGTCCGCGACTGGCCTCCCCTTTGAGGTTGTGCTGCGCGGCGACTCGACGCTGCGCGGCCACTTCCCGCTCGAGGCCGAGGCCGCCACCGCCGCCCTCGGCCCCTTTGACGCCTGGCTGCTGTGCCCCTTCTTCCTCCAGGGCGGCCGCTACACACTAGACAATGTGCACTACGTCGCCGAGGGCGCGCGCCTCGTGCCCGCCGCCCAGACGCCGTTCGCCGCCGACGCCACCTTTGGCTACGCGAGCTCCGACCTGCGCGACTACGTCGCCGAGAAGACGGCCGGCGCCGTCCCCGCCGCCGCCGTGCAAACATCACCCTGCAGACCATTC